ACCGTCACTTTGCACCTGCGAAGTAGGTGTGCGCACATGAGCACGTGTGGTGACCTGTGGTGGCATGTTGTTGGTGTGCTGGCACGCCAGCCTTGCAGGTCGACTGAGGACACCTGAGGTCGACCTGCTGGCAATTCGCCTTCGTGCTGAGCTGGTGGTCGACTTGTATGCTAGGCTTCTGATGTAGTCTACCTTGCCAACATAGTTGCTACGCATTGTTCTCAACTTTTGATAGTGAAACTCTTACAGTTTTGCCTCGTAAATGCACAAGTGATGGAGAACGACTAAGGGAACGAATGCAGAGATCCCTCCTACCCCGTGCCTAGCCCGTAGTCTAGCTCCCGTTCATAGAGTTATCTCCGCACAAGGCGCTCGACGACGTGCTGGTCGGCGCCGACTGGAAGAAGAGCTAGGTCGACCAGGCGCTCTACTTGAAGGTCGACGATGATGGGGTGACCTGCAGGGTGCTGGTCTACATCGACGAACTGCTCGCCGCCAGCAGCAGCACCGCAATGCTGAGGGAGCTGAAGGAGCTGCTGGAGGCCGCCTTTGAGCTGCGTGAGATCTCGCCGGTGGTGAAGTACCTCGGGCTGGAGATCGTGCGTGACAGGCCGGCGAGGAAGTTGTGGCTGCACCAGCAGACTTATGCCGACAAGCTGCGCGGCGTTTCATCGACGAGGAGCAGAGCGGTCGAGTCCCGAAGACACCGGTCTCCGTCGACGCCTATGCTGAGCTTACGTTTAAAGATGAGGAGGCTCAGAAGCATGAGGAGGAGGAGTACTTGCAGAAGATCGGCTTGCTGCAGTTAGCGGGGACGACGACGAGGCCGGACATCGCCTTCGCCTGCAGCAAGTTGGGGAGCGGCCTCACAGTGAGGAGTGACCAGCACCGAGGTCGACCGCTCCCTCACCTACCTCGCTGACACCCGTGACACCGCCCTGGAGTTCAGCGGTGGAGCAGATTCGCTGAAGCTGGTCGGCTACGTGGACGCCAACGACGCCGGCGACAAGCAGAAGCGGACAAGCACGGGCGGCTACGTGTTTGTCTTCGGACGGGCCTTCATCTCTTGGTCGAGCTAGCGCATCAAGTGTGCTAAGCTATTGTCGACCAAGTCGGAGTATGTGGCGGCCACGGAAGCCCGCAAGGAGGGACGCCAACTTTGCTTCCTTCTTGCAGAGTTCCAGCTGCTGGACGCTGGGATGCCGACCATCCTTTGCATGGACAACAAGTCGGCGATCACGGTCGCCGAGGGCTTGGGGCTGCAAGGCAACCTCAAGCACATGGAGCAGCAACATGCCAGGCTGCAGCACATCGTGAAGCGCAGGAAGTTTTCGCTGAAGTCCATCCTGACCACCGAGCAGTGCTCCGTCGCAATCGGCCAAGTACGCCTGGCCGACCGCTGCACTATCCGGCCTTCAACCAGTGCTCCGTCGCAATCGGCCAAGTATGCCTGGCCGACGTCGGTGACGGTGACGACGATGTCCAGCAGTAGGTGCCATGCCCTCTTGCATGGCTGGTGCGGTGACGGCGTGTTGTGTGTGGTGTGCACGCCGACGAGCTATTCTCCGAGTAGTGCTGCCGTATGGGCTGGGGGCACAAGCGTAAACGCGGCAGGGGATTGTCAACGGGAGTTGTGTGTTGGCTCCGCCCTTCCTTGGGCGGAGCCGACTTCGTGGTCGGATATGCAGGAGGTGCAGCCGACTTCAAGAGGTCGACTTGGGAGGTCGACCTAGCAGGACGTTGACTTGGTGACGCCGACCTGGTGAAGCCGACTTGGTGTGGAGGGCTGACAGAAGGGCTGGTTGACCTGGAGTAGGTTGACCAGGGGTGTGGTCGACTTGGTCTAGTCGACAGGTGGTGGAGTAACATACTTACTCTTAGTGCCAACCATATTGGGAAGTAACGCTTTTACTCTTAGTACCAGCCATATGGGTAAGTGATGCACGTCCTCTCAGTACCATCCATATGGGTAAATATCGCACTTACTCTTAGTACCAACCATATAGGTAAGTAGTGCACTTACTCTTAGTACAAGCCATATGTGTAAGTAACGCACTTATTCATAGTACCAACCATATTAAGAAGTAACGCTCTTACTCTTAGTCCCGTCCATATGGGTTAGTGACGCACTTACCCTTAGTACCAACCATATGGGTAAGTATCGGACTTACTCTTAGTACCAACCATATAGGTAAGTAACGCAATTATGCTTAGTACCAACCATATGGGTAAATACCTAAGGGTAACTAACGCACTTACTCTTGGAACCAACCATTTGGGTAAGTCATGCACTTACGCATAATACCAACAATATGGGTAAGTAACACACTTACACTAAGTACCAACCATGTTGGTAAGTAGGGCACTTACTCTTGGTAGAATCCATTTGAGATGGGTAAGTAATGCATGGTAACGTACATAACCTTAGTACCAACCGTATGGGTAAGTAACGCACATACTTTTAGTACCATCTATACGGGTAAGTAACGCACTTACTATTCGTACCAATGATATGGGTAAGTAACGCTCTTATGCTCAATACAAACCATATGGGTAAGTAACGCACTTACGCTTAGTACCAACCATATGGGTAAGTAATGAACTTACTCTTAGTACCAACTAAATGGGTAAGTAATGCATTTACTCTGAGTACCATCCATATGGGTAAGTAACGCACTTAACCTTAGTACCAACCATATGGGTTACTCTTAGTACTATCCATACGTGTAAGTAATGCATTTACTCTTAATACCATCCATATGGGTTACTAATGGACTTACCCTTAGTACCAACCATATGGGTAAGTAACGCACTTACTCTTAGTATCAACCAAGTGGGTAAGTAACGCTCTCACGCTTAGTACCAACCAACCGGGTAAGTAGTGCACTTTCTCTTAGTACCATCCACTTGGGTAAGTAACACTCTTACACATACTACCAACCATATAGGTAACAAACGCACTTACTCGAAGTACGAACCATAGGAGTAAGCAACGCACTCACTCTTAGTACCATCCATATGGGTAAGTAACACACTTATTACCAACCATATGAGTATGTAGCGCATTTGCCATTGTCCCATTCATATGTCTTAGTAACGCGCTTACCCTTAGTACCTACCAGATGGGTAAGTAACACACTTACTCTTAGTACCAACCATATGGGTAAGGAGCGCACTTACGATTATTACCAACCATATAGGTAATTAACGCACTCACTCTTAGTACCAACCAGATCGCTAAGTAACGCAATTTTTTTTAGTACCAACCATATGGGTAAGTAACTCTCTTACGTTCAGTACCAACCATGTGTGTAAGTAACACACTTACACTGAGTATCATCCTTATGTGTAAATAACGCACTTACTCTTTGTACCATCCATGTAGTATAAATCATACGGTAAGTAACAAACTTACACTTTGTATGGATAAGCAACGCACTTACTCTTAGTAACATCCATATAGATAAGAAACGCACTTACTCTTAGTACCAACCATATGGGTACGTAACGCTTTTACGCCTAGTACCAACCATACGGGTAAGCAATGCACTTACACTTAGTACCAGCAATATAGGTAAGTAACGCAGTTAATCTTAGTACCATCCATATGGGTAAGTAACGCAATTACGCTCAGTACCAGCCATATAGGTAAGTAACGCACTTAATCTTAGTACCATCCATATGGGTAAGTAACGCACTTACTCTTAGTACCATCTATTCATGTTATTAAATCACACCATCTATACGGGTAAGTAACGCACTTACTTTAGCGCACCTAGTCTTTGTACCAACCATATAGGTAAGTAATGCTCTTATGTTTAGTACCAACCATATGGGAAAGTAACGAATTTGTGCTTAGTACCAACCATCATAGTAAGTAGCACACTTATTCTTGGTACCAACCATATGGGAAAGTAACGTACTTACGCTTAGTACTCACCAGTTGGGTAAGTAATGCACTTACGCTCAGTATCACCCATATGCGTAAGTAACGCACTTACGCTTAGTACCAACCATTTGGGAAAGGAACACACTTAATCATAGTACCATCCATATGGGTAAGTAATGCTTACAATTAGTACCATCTAAACAAGTAAGTAACGTACACCATCAATACGGGTAAGTATCACACTTGATTTGTTTATTAAAATGTACTCACCATTAAAGGAGGTGAGGTCAGAGGAGGGAAAGTAGGGTGGTTCTACATATGGAGGGGAGGTGAGATCGGATAGAAAATGAATGTGAGGGAAGGGAGGGGATGAATGTGAGGGCAGAGGGAATGAATGTGAGGGAACGGAGGGAATGAATGTGAGGGAAGGTAGGCAACGAATGGCACGGCAGAGGGAATGAATGTGATGTAAGGAGGGAACGAAGGTGAGGACAGAGGGAATGAATGGGCGGGAAGGGAGGCAACGAATGGCACGGCAGAGGGAATGAATGTGATGTAAGGAGGGAACGAAGGTGAGGACAGAGGGAATGAATGGGCGGGAAGGGAAGGGAGGCAACGAATGGCACGGCAGAGGGAATGAATGTGATGTAAGAAGGGAACGAAGGTGAGGACAGAGGGAATGAATGGGCGGGAAGGGAGGGAATGAATGGGAGGGCAGAGGGTATGAATGTGAGGGAAGGGAGGGAATGAATGTGAGGGCTGAGGGAATGGAACTGAGGGCGGAGGGAATGAATGATGTGGCAGAGGGAATGAATGTGATTGAAGGGAGTGAAAGAATGCGAGGGCAGAGAGTATGAATGTGAGGGAAGGGTTTGAAAGAATGTGAGGGCAGAGGGACTGAATGAGAGGGCATAGAGGGAATGAATGGGTGGGACTTACTATTGGACACCATGCAGGCTCGGTGATCCCCGAGTAAATTTAGGGTCCAAGGTCATGCGTGAAGTCCATAAATCTGTAGTTGGAAAAGAAACGTTCTCAGAGCGATAAAAGAACTAGAGGTTAGCTTTGAACAATAGTAGTGTCATGCCAACAGCATGCCGTAGGTTCATACCGCGAGGGGATTTTGCGTTGCCTTTTGCATTGAGCCCACTCATCTCGTACATTCACTTCATGCTTGCGGTGGGTGGGACGTGACGCCTGAATTGGGGAAGGTATGATCACATAGCACAACGATCAGCAAACACCTTACCAAACAAAATGACATATATATGCAACCATATGAACCAAAACAGAACCGTACCGACTACACGCCCCAACACTGACCAAGCGGTAGCGTCCGCCTAACTCGGGAGGGGCGCGCGTTGCTGCGGGTACGACGTCGTGTACGTGCCCCCGTAATGGAATCATTATTGCTTGCAGGGCTCGTGAACACGAATGCATCGGATGTGGGGGTCAGCGGAGAAAATGGCGTGCGTGCCGGAGCGCAACTGCCGGCGCGGGGTGGCGTCGAGGGAAGTCGAATGGGAGTGGAGCTAATATGAGGCGCCTCGTTCTCATCTCCTTCGGATACTCCCAACCTCACTACAGCCTCCTCTGCCATCTCGGGGGCCCCCTCAACTTCTACCACGTCCTCTTCGCCCTCCCCCACCCCGTCATCAGCCTCGTCCTCCACCTCCTCCTCCCCATTCACGTCCCCTTCACCTTGCTCCTCGGATCCTATGCTCCCTGCTTTGCCCCCACACGCCCTGATCTTTCCCCATCGCTCCAAGACCTCATCCACCCAACGCCAATCCATCGGACCAAGCACCCGATCTTTCGTCCCACGCCGCACTCGTGTTACCTTGCGTACGCGTGTCCGCCACTCCCTAACAACCCTCTCCACCGCGTGATTCCAGTGCAGCACACTCAACGCCACCCGAGCCGGCATACTGCCAAGGAACGCTATACGTTTCGGCGCGTACTTCGTGATCAACGAGTGAAATGACTCGTTCATCCAGTTTGATGCACCTAACACATATGCTGCCATGGGACCTGGCCCACAATGGACGGACAACCACTCTTTGAACGCCTTGTGTGTCGCTGAACCCGGTTCATACAGCGCACTTTCCTCCCCCCAACCTTCCCTAACACAACGTGGGACCACACCATCACGCTGACAACCAGCGTGTATGCCCGCCCAATGGTCTCCGCACCCCCCAATCTCATCAGACACTTCTTGGGGAGTCATTGGATGACCTGCTTCTGCCTTTGTTGCAGCGCGCATCATGCAATGGTGGAAATGAATACAGAAGCGCTGACCAACAGTCACATCGGCCACTTCACCCTCCGTGTCCTCACTGCTACACCCCTCTTGAGCACATTTCCGCTTCCCAGTTTTCCTCTCCTGCCACCTTGGGGTACGACGTGAAGTGGCATTTTCCAACGGTCCAGGCTCCCCCGCCACGCCTTTCTCCCCCAACACTACTGGCTCCCCCGCCACTCCAGGCTCCCTCGCCACTCTAGGCTCCCCCTCTACTCCAGGCTCCTCCGATGAACCACACTCCCTAGTCTCTAGGGCCTCCCCCCCCACTCCAGGCTCGACCCCCACTCCATGCACCCCCCCCACTCCAGGCTCCTTCGCCACTCCAGGATCCCACGCCACTCCAGGCTCGACCCCCACTCCAGGCACCCCCCCCACTCCAGGCTCCTCCGCCACTCCAGGCTCCCTCGCCACTCTAGGCTCCCCCTCCACTCCAGGCTCCTCCGCCACTCCAGGCTCCCCCGCCACTCCAGGTCCCTCCGCCACTCCAGGCTCCCCCGCCAATCCAGGCTCCTCCGCCACTCCAGGCTGCCCCGCCACTCCAGGCTCCCCCGCCATTCCAAGCTCCTCCGCCACTCCAAGCTCCTCCGCCACTCCAGGCTCCTCTGATGATTCAGGCACCCCCGACACTCCAGGCTCCGCCGCCACTCCAGGCTTTCCCGCCACTACAGGCTCCCCCGCCTGCCGATCTCGCCCCATCTCTGGATCGCCTGACTCCACTTCGCCTGAATGTGTTCAAGAAAATGTGCAACACATTAGAGACAAAGTATTCATTCATCTGCGAAATGGAATTTGCAACTGTTGGAATGCAAACTCACCACGTGTCATCATCTCGATGTCCTTTAGGCTGAACATAGACTCCGCCGACTCTCTGATGAAATCGTGGGTGATGTCGTCCCGGGCGGCATGCGTGGGATGCGGATCAAAATCAAATGGTGTATCAACGTCGCCCCACTTGATCCCCAGAATCCGAGAGACCTCATCTGCTTCCCCACCCAAAGCACCGACATCATGGGGTGTTGAACCGACGTCACCGTTCTCTCCCCCCCCTCCACTATGCTCATGTTGCACTTCCATCCCCTCCTCTTGCTCCAAGCCCCTTCGTCGTTTGGCCGGTGGTTCAACCGGCTTCGCCCGGACCTTCAACACTTTCCTCATCTCCAAGAATGCCCATTTCTCAGCAGCCTTTGCCGATGCATCAAACTGAATCGTCCCCAATTTCGCACACACATGGTTGATCAGTGTTTTTTTAGCGGACCGCGAACTCACACCTTTCCCCACACCTCCCTTTAGCGTCAACCACTCCCACAACTCCTTCTGTGTGACCGACCACAACTCGGAACATGACTTGGCCTTATCCACTGTCATAGTACCCACTTGTGCCTCCACAAAGGCCTTCACAAACAGTCGTGTCAATGCTCGACCTTTGTGCCACACGTCCATTTGATGGTTGATACCCGTACCAACTAACGCCTTTTTGAATGACCCTCCATCGTCACTTATGATCCCGGTCACATTGAATCCCCACTCTTTCAATTTCGCCAAGCCAAGCTTGAATGCAACCCTTTCTAACTCTGTCGATGACTTTCCCTCTTCTTTTTTGCATACGGTGACAGTCAACAGCATCTTCCGTGACCGTGGATCCATGAAAGTGACAGTGCACCACTGCGCCTCCCTTGCCTGTGACCAACGCCCATCCACGCAAATGTACCCATCCCCCTCTTTGCGCAACTGCATGTCTGCACGGGCTCTAGCCATGCTCTCTTCCCCGTGGACGATGATAGCCTCCCACAAACCGTACGGCTGTCGCATGTAACGATAGAAGGTCTCTTTCCCGATAGACTTAAACCCAAGGGTCCGACTAACCTCCGACAGCTGCTGGAAGCCTATTCCCGCCATAACAAATGCCCCCAACCACCGCGGAAATAGTAAGGAGGTCTTTGGGCCCTGTTTGCCTACACCCCTGGTGACTTTGCCCCTTTCAGTAGACCAAAACTGTATAGACTTTCCACACGTATCACAGACCCACAAGACCCCCAACGTCGCCCACGCCATCTTACATGATCGCACGACCAACGAACCCTTACACGCGGTCGCCTGACAGCAGACCACTCCCAAACTCATGAAGAATTGTAGCAATACAATGGGGTCTAACAGACATACCGCCCCTTTGAGGCTAGTTGCAGCAGCGTTGGCCGACAGAGGCCATGATCGAGCGAGAGCCCTTCGGAGAGGTGCTCCTGCACGGCCCGCTGATAAGCTGTGGTGGGGTCGAATTGGAAATGCCATCACAATTTTGGAAAGTTTAGGGTAGAGGCCACAAACTCAGCTGGCTAGGGATGTTTATCAACGGATGATGTGTAGATTCGATGAGTGTTTATTGAATGGATGAAGTTGTTAGCATTATACCAAGTCAAGCTTGGGAAGCTTTTGAAGGAGGCCACACACCCATCGACTCTACATAGGCGCACTTACCCATCAGGTTGGGGCCGGATTGCAGGAGTAGATGCAGTTGCCCCATCGCTCGGGCGATCTGGCACGGATGCCCTTCCAGCACCTTCCCCCTCCTCTTGCCCATCATCAACGGGGCCATCCCCCTCTCCCAACTCTCTCCCCTCTTCCACATGCCCCTCATCATCCACCGGGGCAAACTCCGCCACAGCAGTCTCACATCCCACGGGTGGCGAATCCGTAACGGGTGATCCTCCGTTGCCACTCATATCATGATCTCCTCTTGCAACTGCAGTTTAATGACCATACGTGGCATATGGGTAAATGGGTATAAGGGCACGGGAAAATAATTGGATTTCGAAGTAATCCCCTACAAACAGGGGGTCATTGCGTGTTGTGAGACCCACAACATGGATAAGACCAGTCGCACGTCTTTCGACCAGTGCATATAGATGCAGGGTGACGTGCGACAAATTGAACAAAACAGAAAGCGCGACAGTATGCCAGCGAAACGTCTCAAGAAATGGTGTGTACAACACCCCGTGACATGGACATACCAGCATTGTTTAGTGCTTGATATGCCGGTCCGCGACGGTCACCTCTGTGGCCACGTCCATTATCCGGCTCAAGCACACCCTCCTTGTTGAGATGGTATGTATCGAACTCATAAACGAAGCCGTCCAATGACTTCGGCATCCTCTGGAGCAGATGCGCCTCGTCCGCCTTTTCCCCCGGTTGGCTCACGAGGAAGCTTGCTCGCTGTGCTTCCAATTGTAACTTTACCTGTTCTTTCACCATGTCGCCATTCCCACCTACCATAAACGGCGTGGTTTGGGCATGTTAGTGGGTTGTTTGCAAGTGTTAGCTGGTTTTGATCCATGCACAATTGTTCCAAGGTGCCACTTACAAGTATCAGTTGCTGCATTTATTAGCTTCACAACGACATCCCAGGCCGAAACCATGAGGACGTGCAGCACGTCGTTGAACGATGCCTCCCTCCCCATCAGTGCCGATAAACCGCAGCGCATAATGGTTACGGGCAGGACAGTGTGTTTCCCAAGCCCCACTGGCTTTTGCTTGACACCCCCCATAATGTTTTTGAGCTGCTGCTGCAAAGTCTCTCCCTTGTTCTTGGATCGCCTGCCATTACGATCACATGTCCATTACATATGCTGGTGTATGGCTTTTGTGCTACACGCAACCTCACACAACCCGTACCACTCACCTTGGTGCCATTACGACACGATGCGCAAATGTCCGTCAGTCGAAAGCCACCAGTCGGAATGGCGTTGTGGTGAAAGGCCTGATGGGATGGTGACGGGTTGCAGAGGCACAATAAAAGGACATGCGCGTTAGGTTGTGCCGTTACTCACGACAGATGTCACCGCCCCTAGAAGTACCCAGTCACCACCCAAATCCCACCTCGGACTATACACCCATAACCACCAATTTACCTCCTATCATGTCACCACTTTCCCCCCAGCCTAAACCTCCCTTCCCGCCTCGGTTCCCCCTCACCGGCCTTCCCCCCTCGGTCACCGCCTAACTCCTCCCGGCCAGCCACTCCCTTCCCCCTCTCACATCACCGCCCTTCCCCCTCTCACAGAACCTCCCTCACCCCTCTCACCTCACCTCCCTTCCCCCTCCCTAGGCACCTTTCTTCCCCCTCTCCCATCGTTGCATTCCCCCCAGTCAGAACCTCGCTTCCCCTCTCCGACACCGCCTATGTCTCGGAGGTCAGCACCCCCCTCCCCCATCTATCAGCACCTCTCGTTCCCCTCTATCGGCACATCGTTCCCCTCTATCAGCACCTCTAGTTCCCCTCTATCAGCACCTCTCGTTCCCCTCTATCAGCACCTCACTTACCCCTCTCTCAGCACCTCCACTCCGACACTCACTGCACTACCATCCCCCCTCTGTCCTCTCAACCTTCCCCCTGTCACTGTACCTCCCTTCTCCCTCTGTCCTCACCTCCCTTCCCACTATGACAGTACCTCGCTTCCCCCTCTCTAAGCACATCTCATCCCCATCTCACATCGTTGCACCGCCCCAGCCCGCATTTCACATCGTTGCATTGCCCCAGCCAGCACCACCCTTCCCACCCCCAGACCCCCCTCCCTAAGCACCTCTGTTCCCCTCTCACATCACCTCTTCCCCCCCTGCCAGCGTCACCACTAACCCTCTACCCCGCGTGCCTCAACTCCTTTCCTCTTTATTCGTGCACTTATCTTGCCCCTCTGACCGCACCGCACCCCCCTTCCAACTCACCCATCACCTCCTAACCCACTGCCCGCACCCTCTTTTCCCTCTCCACGCACCTTCATTCCCCCCTTTTGACCTCACCTTCCTTTTCCCCTCCCCTGTTTGCCTACATTCCCCATATGAAATCAAGTCCTTTCCCCCTCCCTATGCACTTAACTCTCCCCTCTCAAATCACCTCTTTCCCCCTCTGACAGCACCTCTTGCCCCCCTCCCAACACCTTCTCTCCCGTCTCTCAGCACCTCCCTTCCCCCCTCTGAACTCACCTTCATTTCCCCCTACCCTCACATCCCATCCCCCCTCTGACCTCACCACCCTTCCCCCTTCCTCACCTATCTTCCACCACTCACCTCCCCTCCCTCCACCCTCTCACCTCATGTCCCTCCCCCCTCCATCATCACGTATCTTCACCCTACCTGCTCACCTACCTCCCCTTCTGACAGCACCTCCCTCCCATAGGGAAAATTAGGGGTAACAAAGGGTGAAATGAGAGGGACTCCAGGGGAAAATGATGGGACACTAGGGGGGGGATGAGAGGGAGCAGTGGAAAATAAGAATGGGATATTATTCCCCCCAATGGGGGAATGGTTTGGGAGGAGCGGGAACGGGTCCAGGCGCGGGAAAGGGATAGGGGAGTGAGGAGGTGGGTACGGAGACAGGAAGGATGGAGAGCATTCGTGCGTATGCCTCACCACAAGTTCACACCCGGTGCTATCGCTAAGCACCTTCCCTCCCCCCTCTCACAGGACCTCTGTCCTCTCCTCCTTCCCCCTCTCAGTGCACCTTCTCCCCACCTCTGTCCTCTCCTCCCTTCCCCCTCTCACAGCTCCTACCTTCCCCCACCCACAGCATCTCCCTTCCCCCACCCACAGCATCTCCCTTCCCCCTCTCACAGCTCCTCCCTTCCCCCTCTCACAGCTCCTCCCTTCCCCCACCCACATCATCTCCCTTCCCCCTATCACAGCTCCTACCTTCCCCCACCCACAGCATCTCCCTTCCCCCACCCACAGCATCTCCCTTCCCCCTCTCACAGCTCCTCCCTTCCCCCTCTCACAGCTCCTCCCTTCCCCCACCCACATCATCTCCCTTCCCCCTATCACAGCTCCTCCCTTCCCCCTCTCACATCTCCTACCTTCCCCCACCCACAGCATCTCCCTTCCCCCTATCACAGCTCCTCCCTTCCCCCTATCACAGCTCCTCCCTTCCCCCTCTCACAGCTCATACCTTCCCCCACCCACAGCATCTCCCTTCCCCCTATCACAGCTCCTCCCTTCCCCCTCTCACAGCTCCTCCCTTCCCCCACCCACAGCATCTCCCTTCCCCCTCTCACAGCTCCTCCCTTCCCCCACCCACATCATCTCCCTTCCCCCTCTCACAGCTCCTACCTTCCCCCTCTCACAGCTCCTCCCTTCCCCCACCCACATCATCTCCCTTCCCCCTATCACAGCTCCTCCCTTCCCCCTCTCACATCTCCTACCTTCCCCCACCCACAGCATCTCCCTTCCCCCTATCACAGCTCCTCCCTTCCCCATCTCACAGCATCTCCCTTCCCCCACCCACAGCATCTCCCTTCCCCCTATCACAGCTCCTCCCTTCCCCCTCTCACAGCTCCTCCCTTCCCCCACCCACAGCATCTCCCTTCCCCCACCCACAGCATCTCCCTTCCCCCTATCACAGCTCCTCCCTTCCCCCACCCACAGCATCTCCCTTCCCCCTCTCACAGCTCCTCCCTTCCCCCACCCACATCATCTCCCTTCCCCCTCTCACAGCTCCTCCCTTCCCCCTCTCACAGCTCCTCCCTTCCCCCACCCACATCATCTCCCTTCCCCCTATCACAGCTCCTCCCTTCCCCCTCTCACATCTCCTACCTTCCCCCACCCACAGCATCTCCCTTCCCCCTATCACAGCTCCTCCCTTCCTCCTCTCACAGCTCCTCCCTTCCCCCACCCACAGCATCTCCCTTCCCCCACCCACAGCATCTCCCTTCCCCCTCTCACAGCTCCTCCCTTCCCCATCTCACAGCATCTCCCTTCCCCCACCCACAGCATCTCCCTTCCCCCTATCACAGCTCCTCCCTTCCCCCTCTCACAGCTCCTCCCTTCCCCCACCCACAGCATCTCCCTTCCCCCACCCACAGCTCCTCCCTTCCCCCTATCACAGCTCCTCCCTTCCCCCTCTCACAGCTCCTCCCTTCCCCCACCCACATCATCTCCCTTCCCCCTCTCACAGCTCCTACCTTCCCCCTCTCACAGCTCCTCCCTTCCCCCACCCACATCATCTCCCTTCCCCCTATCACAGCTCCTCCCTTCCCCCTCTCACAGCTCCTCCCTTCCCCCACCCACATCATCTCCCTTCCCCCTCTCACAGCTCCTCCCTTCCCCCTCTCACAGCTCCTACCTTCCCCCACCCACAGCATCTCCCTTCCCCCACCCACAGCATCTCCCTTCCCCCTATCACAGCTCCTACCTTCCCCCTCTCACAGCTCCTCCCTTCCCCCACCCACATCATCTCCCTTCCCCCTCTCACAGCTCCTACCTTCCCCCTCTCACAGCTCCTCCCTTCCCCCACCCACAGCATCTCCCTTCCCCCTCTCACAGCTCCTCCCTTCCCCCTCTCACAGCTCCTCCCTTCCCCCACCCACATCATCTCCCTTCCCCCTCTCACAGCTCCTCACTTCCCACACACAGCATCTCCATTCCCCATATCACAGCTCGTCCCTTCCCCCTCTCACAGCTCCTCCCTTCCCCCACCCACAGCAGCTCCCTTCCCCCTCTCGCACCTCCTACCTTCCCCCTCTCGCTGCTCGTTATCTCGTTCCATTGCACTCGTAACAGCTGGAAAACAAAACCCCATATTCTCCATTCCCTAATCCTCCGACTTCTTCCTTCCATCCTCACATTATTTATCACGCTACGAGCTAGGAGCTAGGAGCTAGTTGGTAGTGAGTTCTAGTCCCCGTAGTGAAGCGCCCGCGACACTATTTAACAAGCTCCCGTGAAGCGCCAGTGACAGACGCCAAGGGATTACTTGTGAGGTAAGACAGAACACTTTATGAAAATGCTCACCGTCGTGATGAAGGTAGGACGCGTGAATGAGTGAAACATGAGACCCGCGCCCGTGAGCAAGCGCTGGCGCCTAGTGCACTCGCCTAATTGGGCGCTGGCGCTTAAGCTGCTTGGCGCCTAGCGCGCCGTGGGCGCTGGCGCCGTTGTCGCGGCCGCCTAAGGCGCTGGCGCGGACCCCTTAGGCGCTGGCGCTGGCGCGTGCGCCTTAGGCGCGTTTGAGCCAAATACAACACACCCTAATGATCATTTCCGCCCGCAATCTCGTTCCCACGTAAAACCCGCACATTCGCAGTCACAATCTCCCAGAACCATTCAGAAAGTAAATTCTCCTGCTGTATTCCAAATCCGAGAGCGTGCAGGTTTTTAATGCGCAGAGGGTGAGGGTGCGCGCGCCGCCATGGCGGACAGCATTTTGTTTGAAGACATATTCACGCTCACCGAGATGGACGTCGGCGGCAAGAAGTTCGACAAAGGTTCGTTCGCTCTCTCGCTTCTCGTCCTGCTCGCTCTCTCGCTTCTCGTCCTGCGGGTTGCGCGTCTCGTGCCCTCGCGCGAGAGGTGGGTGGTGGATAAGGGGGTGTTTAAGTGGGCGCCAGATAAGTGGCTCCTTCACTCGCCTCCCAGTCTCTTCATTTCCTTCTTCTCTGCTCCCTTCATTCCCCCACACCCCTAACTCTATCTTCCCCACGGGCACGCAGCGAGTTTGACATGCAGCTGTGCTTTGGAAAGCCACAAACCTCTTCTCGCCAGGACCTTACTTTCTTTCTCCCCCCATCCCCCTCCCCTCCCGACCCCCCTCTCGCCCCCTCCCCCCTGCATTTCCCTCCCCGCGTTCCCCCCTTCTCCCCCCACTTCCCCTTCTCCCCCCCGTCCCCCGTGCCCCCGCGGCAGTGTCGCGCGTGGAGGCGCGCAGCGAGCAGTTTGACATGGCGCTGTCGCTGGACGTGAACACGGAGGTGTACCCGCTGGCCGCGGGCGACAAGTTCACCCTCGCGCTCTCGCCCACGCTCAGCCTCGAAGGCGTCTCTGACGAAGGCGTGTACGACCAGGTGGGCCGTAGATGGACGGGTGTGAATCAAGTGGGCGGCAGACGGAGGGGTGTGCGACTAGGTGGGCGGCAGATGGAGGGGTGTATGATCATGTGGGCGGGATTGACCAGGCAGCTCCTACGCAGGGTTGGATTTCAGGGTTGGGAAAATTGTAGGGTTCTCGGCTTAGGGTTGAAGGTGTAAGGGTCAGAATTTAAGGCTCAAAAATCAAGGTTCATGGTTTAGGGTTAGAGGTTTGAAATTTCCGGATAGGTGATTCAAGGCGGCAAGCAGAAGGGGTAGGGGCATGCGTGGCCATGGGCTCGCCATTGGTGCTCTCCCACCCAGTCCTCACGGCGTGATGAGCAGCATAGTGAGAAGTTCAACTTAGAGTACATGAGAGGGCAGAATGTGCGCGGTCCACGCCCTGGGGAGGGCAGAATGTGCCTGGTCCACGCCCTGGTGAGTCCTCACGGCGTGATGAGCAGCATAGTGAGAAGTTCAACGTAGAATACAAGAGAGGGCAGAATGTGCGCGGTCCACGCCCTGGTGAGGAGGTACGTGACGGTATGGTGCATACCAGGCTCGATTGATGTCCCGTCAGCAGTGCAGGGGAGGGAAAGCTAAAAGCGGTGAGGCTGTGGCAGAGGCAGTGCCCCTGGAGCCACAAAGAGGGTAGCAACATCCCTCCACTCCATGGCCTCTCTCGCACGTGGTGCCTCGGCATATGAGCCTTTCATCCTCCCCCCTCCTCTCCCCCCTCCTCTCCCCCCTCCTCTCCCCCCTCCTCTCCCCCCTCCTCTCCCCCTTCCTCTCCCCCCTCCTCTCCCCCCTCCTCTCCCCCCTCCTCTCCACCCTCCTCTCCCCCCTCCTCTCCCCCCTCCTCTCCCCCCTCCTCTCCCCCCTCCTCTCCCCCCTCCTCTCCCCCCTCCTCTCCCCCCTCCTCTCCCCCCTCCTCTCCCCCCTCCTCTCCCCCCTCCTCTCCCCCCTCCTCTCCCCCCTCCTCTCCCCCCTCCTCTCCACCCTCCTCTCCCCCCTCCTCTCCACCCTCCTCTCCCCCCTCCTCTCCACCCTCTTCTCCCCCCTCCTCTCCACCCTCCTCTCCCCCCTCTTCTCCCCCCTCTTCTCCCCCCTCTTCTCCCCCCTCTTCTCCACCGTACCTGCATGTCTCCCTATGAGAGCGTCATGTACGGCCAACTATCAACCCCATGCCATTCTCTCCCTTCCCCACTGCACGCCATCCCTGCAGTCAGGGCAGGTCACTCATGGACCGATACGAGTACGTGATGCTCGGCCAAAACCCCCTCCCCCCCCCTCCTCCCCCTTTGTCCCCTCGCCCCCCCTTTTCCCCTCCACTGTGTGCCATACCTGCAGTCGGGGAGGCGGTCACTGATGGACCGCTACGAGTACGTGATGTACGGCAAGCTCTACAAGTACAGCGACGCCACCGCCAGCGCCGCCGACGCGTGAGTCCCTCTCCATGCTGCCTCTGTCCCTACATGCTGCCTTCACTCTCTCCATGCTGCCTCTGTCCCTACATGCTGCCGTCACTCTCTCGATGCTTGGCTAATTGGCCTGTGCTCGCCACATGATCGTGAGACGTTGAGGTGCAACACACTCCCTCTGGTCCTACTGCTTGTGGCTTGGCGTGTGTTTTGGTGAAAACATGAGCTTTGATTATAGGTATGAATGTTTTCTGTAACAGCGCCCTGCTATTTGGTTCCTGCCTGGTATCGGATGCTACTCGGAATCCATTTTGTCCCTATGCTTGTTACTTGAGAGCAGTGCAGTGCGACTTCTCGTCCTTATCTGACTTTGTTGGTGATTCATGATCTGCTTTCTGCTTGCATTCTCCCCTCCTTGTGGCTGCTGCTTGCAACAGCGAAATCTACGTCTCATTCGGTGGTTTGCTCATGCGCTTGGCTGGGGACAGCACAAACCTGAAAGATTTTCATATTGATCAGCGGCTGTATATTCTTATTAGAAAAGTATAAACTGTTGTATCATCTTATGCTGCGTAGAGTGCTAAGTAGGTAGGTTCTAACACGTTCTCAAGATGTATGAATCACAAACCAAATATACGGAACACAAGACCAGACTGCCGTTTCCCATATTTTGAAGGCACAGATAAATGTTTTATGGTTGTGTCATCTGGTCAAGTCCAAGCATTTAGAACTTGCATTCTGTTGCTTAGCTGAGTACAGCTTATACACCCTTTTACCATACGTACAATTGTGTCAAGTTTATATAGCGAGTGAGTTGCTAAACAGACAGGCTCGAAGAGGTCCCAACCGCGTACCACACACGAGCTCGAAGTGACGCTTTTCCGAGAGATGAGCGACGGTTTGAAGCGGTGAAGCGGATATACCGCTTCTAACTGTACATCATCGTACTCGACCGTTTCAACCAAACAGAAGCTCAACCCCTCTGACACGGTTGCTCTGGGAAACACTTGACAGCATGGGATTGTTTTCACCATCCACGTCGTGTCACGCGAGCAAACAAAACAACCATCGATGATCTCAAGGGTTTGGCCTGCAGGCTAGTTTCTGTGCGATGCGATTCGTGTACATAGTCCTACGCTGCTGACAGATTACTCAATGAGCTCCCCTCACCCATGACCCGCTTGATGCTCTTCCACCCATGACCCGCTTGATGCTCTTCCACCCATGACCCGCTTGATGCTCTTCCACCCATGACCCGCTTGATGCTCTTCCACCCATGACCCGCTTGATGCTCTTCCACCCATGACCCGCTTGATGCTCTTCCACCCATGACCCGCTTGATGCTCTTCCACCCATGACCCGCTTGATACTCTTCCGCGCTTAGAGCGACGGTTAGCGGTGCAGCAAGTCCGACACGCGTAGGGGAAGCAAAGGTTGAACGGCACAGGGGGAGGAACAAGACCAAGACGAGTGGGGAGAGGAGCAAGGTAGGGGTAGGAGAGACGGAAGACGTGTAGGAGGAGGAGAGGCGGTGGGTCGTGAGATGGAGGAGGTGGTGCCGAGAGGCGTCAAACGAGGCCAGTCCGATTCCCGCGACGCTCGCGGCGACCGGCAGCCTGGCGCGTGCGACGATGCGTCGCTCACCACAGCTGCTGCGACGGGTAACCACATGCCGAATAGCGACATCGGTAGCGGTCTAACGATGCTCTCCCCGAACGATCAATCACGAGCGCAGGCGATAGCGTTTGGTTCCATTGCAGGCATGGCGGCGGGCTCGAGCGCGTCAGGGAGTGCAGTGAGCGCGTCAGGGGGAAGTGCACTGAGCGTGGGCCAAAACGGCCGGATGAAGCGACGGAGAGGCGACGTTGGAACGCCTCTTGACGCCGCAGCAGTAGGCGCGTGCAGTGGGGTCCGGCAAGCTGACCGCGCGGGTTCGAATCTCGGCGTCAGCAGCGGCAGTGGCGAAGGCTCGGCAGCAGCTGGTGCGAGCTGCGAGGAGCGCGCTCGACTGGCAGCGCAAGCAGGTGGCTCCGGCGGTCATGCCGCGGGCGCCGCTGCAGAGATGGATTCAGCCGTCGCGGCTGTTGCTGCCGCGGGTGCTCCCCCGCGCCCTGCCGTCGCGCTGGCGGCTGCTGCTGTTGCACACGCCGCTGGGACGACGGATGAGGCTGCTGGGGTTGCTGGTAGTGGCGCTGGTTCTGGAACCACTGGCGCCATCCCTGCTGCTGCCGCTGCAGTGGGGCGTGCTACAGCCTGCGCGCGTGAAGGTTCTGCCGTCCCCTGTGCTGAGACGGCAGCACACACCAGCGGTAGCGCTGCTCGCCTCGCTGCCGAGCCTGCTCTCCCTGCTGCACCCGCCGCTGCCACTCCTGCTGCTGCTGCAGGACAGGCGCTGCAAGGAGCGGTGGCGATTGTGGGTGGCGCCGCAAGCAGTGCTGCGCGCGAGCGTGCAGGAGGGGGCGCAGCGCAAGGGGGGCCCAGTGCAGGAGCGGAGAGAGCAGGGGGGAGCGGAGGAGAGGGGGGTGGGGGAGCGGGTGGGGACGAGGAGGTGGCGCGGGCGGCACAGCTGGCGGAGGACGAGCGGCTGGCGAGGGAGCTGCAGCGCGCATTCGAGGAGGAGAGCAGCATCCCGTTCGTGAGTGCTCCGTGCATGGCATGGCATGGCATGTCATGGCATGGCATGGCATGGCATGGCATGTGTCACGTCATTCTGCGTCCATTCTGGGACTGTGCTGCATGCATGCGCTGTGCTGCATGCGCTGTGCTGCATGCGCTGTGCTGCATGCGCTGTGCTGCATGCGCTGTGCTGCATGCGCTGTGCTGCATGCGCTGTGCTGCATGCGCTGTGCTGCATGCGCTGTGCTGCATGCGCTGTGCTGCATGCGCTGTGCTGCATGCGCTGTGCTGCATGCGCTGTGCTGCATGCGCTGTGCTGCATGCGCTGTGCTGCATGCGCTGTGCTGCATGCGCTGTGCTGCATGCGCTGTGCTGCATGCGCTGTGCTGCATGCGCTGTGCTGCATGCGCTGTGCTGCATGCGCTGTGCTGCATGCGCTGTGCTGCATGCGCTGTGCTGCATGCGCTGTGCTGCATGCGCTGTGCTGCATGCGCTGTGCTGCATGCGCTGTGCTGCATGCGCTGTGCTGCATGCGCTGTGCTGCATGCGCTGTGCTGCATGCGCTGTGCTGCATGCGCTGTGCTGCATGCGCTGTGCTGCATGCGCTGTGCTGCATGCGCTGTGCTGCATGCGCTGTGCTGCATGCGCTGTGCTGCATGCGCTGTGCTGCATGCGCTGTGCTGCATGCGCTGTGCTGCATGCGCTGTGCTGCATGCGCTGTGCTGCATGCGCTGTGCTGCATGCGCTGTGCTGCATGCGCTGTGCTGCATGCGCTGTGCTGCATGCGCTGTGCTGCATGCGCTGTGCTGCATGCGCTGTGCTGCATGCGCTGTGCTGCATGCGCTGTGCTGCATGCGCTGTGCTGCATGCGCTGTGCTGCATGCGCTGTGCTGCATGCGCTGTGCTGCATGCGCTGTGCTGCATGCGCTGTGCTGCATGCGCTGTGCTGCATGCGCTGTGCTGCATGCGCTGTGCTGCATGCGCTGTGCTGCATGCGCTGTGCTGCATGCGCTGTGCTGCATGCGCTGTGCTGCATGCGCTGTGCTGCATGCGCTGTGCTGCATGCGCTGTGCTGCATGCGCTGTGCTGCATGCGCTGTGCTGCATGCGCTGTGCTGCATGCGCTGTGCTGCGCTGCATGCGCTGTGCTGCATGCGCTGTGCTGCATGCGCTGTGCTGCATGCGCTGTGCTGCATGCGCTGTGCTGCATGCGCTGTGCTGCATGCGCTGTGCTGCATGCGCTGTGCTGCATGCGCTGTGCTGCATGCGCTGTGCTGCATGCGCTGTGCTGCATGCGCTGTGCTGCATGCGCTGTGCTGCATGCGCTGTGCTGCATGCGCTGTGCTGCATGCGCTGTGCTGCATGCGCTGTGCTGCATGCGCTGTGCTGCATGCGCTGTGCTGCATGCGCTGTGCTGCATGCGCTGTGCTGCATGCGCTGTGCTGCATGCGCTGTGCTGCATGCGCTGTGCTGCATGCGCTGTGCTGCATGCGCTGTGCTGCATGCGCTGTGCTGCATGCGCTGTGCTGCATGCGCTGTGCTGCATGCGCTGTGCTGCATGCGCTGTGCTGCATGCGCTGTGCTGCATGCGCTGTGCTGCATGCGCTGTGCTGCATGCGCTGTGCTGCATGCGCTGTGCTGCATGCGCTGTGCTGCATGCGCTGTGCTGCATGCGCTGTGCTGCATGCGCTGTGCTGCATGCGCTGTGCTGCATGCGCTGTGCTGCATGCGCTGTGCTGCATGCGCTGTGCTGCATGCGCTGTGCTGCATGCGCTGTGCTGCATGCGCTGTGCTGCATGCGCTGTGCTGCATGCGCTGTGCTGCATGCGCTGTGCTGCATGCGCTGTGCTGCATGCGCTGTGCTGCATGCGCTGTGCTGCATGCGCTGTGCTGCATGCGCTGTGCTGCATGCGCTGTGCTGCATGCGCTGTGCTGCATGCGCTGTGCTGCATGCGCTGTGCTGCATGCGCTGTGCTGCATGCGCTGTGCTGCATGCGCTGTGCTGCATGCGCTGTGCTGCATGCGCTGTGCTGCATGCGCTGTGCTGCATGCGCTGTGCTGCATGCGCTGTGCTGCATGCGCTGTGCTGCATGCGCTGTGCTGCATGCGCTGTGCTGCATGCGCTGTGCTGCATGCGCTGTGCTGCATGCGCTGTGCTGCATGCGCTGTGCTGCATGCGCTGTGCTGCATGCGCTGTGCTGCATGCGCTGTGCTGCATGCGCTGTGCTGCATGCGCTGTGCTGCATGCGCTGTGCTGCATGCGCTGTGCTGCATGCGCTGTGCTGCATGCGCTGTGCTGCATGCGCTGTGCTGCATGCGCTGTGCTGCATGCGCTGTGCTGCATGCGCTGTGCTGCATGCGCTGTGCTGCATGCGCTGTGCTGCATGCGCTGTGCTGCATGCGCTGTGCTGCATGCGCTGTGCTGCATGCGCTGTGCTGCATGCGCTGTGCTGCATGCGCTGTGCTGCATGCGCTGTGCTGCATGCGCTGTGCTGCATGCGCTGTGCTGCATGCGCTGTGCTGCATGCGCTGTGCTGCATGCGCTGTGCTGCATGCGCTGTGCTGCATGCGCTGTGCTGCATGCGCTGTGCTGCATGCGCTGTGCTGCATGCGCTGTGCTGCATGCGCTGTGCTGCATGCGCTGTGCTGCATGCGCTGTGCTGCATGCGCTGTGCTGCATGCGCTGTGCTGCATGCGCTGTGCTGCATGCGCTGTGCTGCATGCGCTGTGCTGCATGCGCTGTGCTGCATGCGCTGTGCTGCATGCGCTGTGCTGCATGCGCTGTGCTGCATGCGCTGTGCTGCATGCGCTGTGCTGCATGCGCTGTGCTGCATGCGCTGTGCTGCATGCGCTGTGCTGCATGCGCTGTGCTGCATGCGCTGTGCTGCATGCGCTGTGCTGCATGCGCTGTGCTTCCATTCCGTTCTCCCTGATCCCTCTCCCGCGACAACCCATCGATTCCCCCCACCCCTGCTCTGCCACACCACCATCGATTCCCTGTGTTGCTCTCTTCTGCTCTCTTCTCTCCTCCACCCCCTGGTGCATGCTTCTCTCTCCATTTCCCTTACCCTCTTCCCCTCCTCCCCCTCCCCTCCTCCCCACCACCAGGGGCGGGGACTGGCGACGGACTACCAGCTGGCGATGCTGCTGCAGGCGGAGGAGACGCAGCACCTGCGCTCCCGCGTGCTCCGCTCCTCCCACGCCCCTCGTGGCCCCGCCCGGCCGCCACCTCGCCCGCACGCCCGCCCGGATGCACGTCAACACGCAGGGCAGGGCACAAGGCAGGGCGAGGGGCAAAGTGCACGGCAAGGGGTGGGGCAAGATGCAGGGCAGCAAGCACGCGGGCACAGCGGACAGCACACGGGCGAGCGCCCCTCCCTTGCCCCCTCTGCTGCCTCTGCTCCGTGCACGCTTGCTGCGCAGGCTGGGGGGGCTGCCGACGCTGCCAGTGGGCTAGCAGGGAGGGGCGTGGTGGAAGGCGTGGAAGGGGGCGAGGAGGACGGTGGTGGTGCGCAGAGGAGGGCAGAGCACAGGGAGAGGGAGGTGGCGGGGAGTGAGGTGGTGGTGAGAGTAGCGGGGGGTGATTCTGCAGGGGCTGCTGGCGGAAGCACTGATGCTGGCAGCGCAGGTGCTTTTGGTGTGATTGGCAGCACTGCCGGTGGCACTGGTGGTGGTGGTATTGCAGGTGCACTCAACCCCCCCGTGGCTGCAGTGCCACCTGCCCCCCTGAGACCACTGGAAGCTGCCCGTTTGGCTCGGCCGAGCATGGCAGCACCTGCAGAACGTGCCACGTCAGCATCAGCAGGCCGTGCCACGTCAGCACTAACAAGCTACGGGCGATGGCTGAGGAGAGAGGCGATGGCCGAAACAGTGGCAGCGGCAACAGCGCTGCGCAGTCAGCAGCAGCGAGCTGGGGGATTCGGGGCAGGCGGATTGGGGGAGGGCATGAGTGCGTGGGAGATGCAGCAGGAGGCGCAAGACGCGGCTGACTTCAGAGTGCTGCTGCGTGTGGATGGCGTCCTGCCGGTCCGTGCTGCTCCGCGCCTCCTCCCTGCCTGCCTGCGGCGCCCATGCTCCGTCTCGCCCCTCGTGCCCTGGATTGCAATGAGATGAAGAGCTTCTTGCTGTAGTAGAACCATGTGCTGTGCGGTGCGGTGCTGTGCTGTGCTGTGCTGTGCGGTGCTGTGCTGTGCTGTGCTGTGCTGTGCGGTGCTGTGCTGTGCTGTGCTGTGCTGTGCGGTGCTGTGCGGTGCTGTGCTGTGCTGTGCTGTGCTGTGCGGTGCTGTGCTGTGCTGTGCTGTGCTGTGCGGTGCTGTGCTGTGCTGTGCTGTGCGGTGCGGTGCTGTGCTGTGCTGTGCTGTGCTGTGCTGTGCTGTGCTGTGCTGTGCTGGGCTGTGCTGTGCGCATTGTGCCTTGCTCTCACAGCTGCATTCTTTCTGTCCCCCCGTCTCTGCGTGCGCACCTGCCCTTCCATCCCTTCCATCCTTCGCATCCCTCGCATCCCTCCCATCCCTCGCATCCCTCGCATCCCTCCCATCCCTCGCATCCCTCCCGTCCCTCGCATCCCTCGCATCCCTCCCATCCCTCCCATCCCTCGCATCCCTCTGCAGAGACAATCTGCTCGGCGCCTACAGCCTTCGAGGGCGCAGACTGCTGGAGCTGCGCAAGAAGCATCTGAACAAGCACCTGAAGAAGCACCTGAACGAGCACCTGAACAAGCAACTGAACAAGCACCTGAAGAAATACCAGGACAAGCACCTGAACAAACGCCCGAGGAGGGGAGACGTGAAGGGCCCATTGCGGAGGCAGCTGCAGCTACAGATGGGGCTGTGGCAACAGGTGGAGGGGTCGCACCCTGGGAGGCGGAGGTGAGAGAGGAAGAGGAGGCGGAAGAGGAGGATGAGGATGAGGATGAGGAAGTGGATGAGGAAGTGGATGAGGAGATCGAGATGGTGGAGCTTGATGGGTCGAGGCTGGATATGGGGCTGCTGGAAGGCAGTGCAGGCGAGGAAGCTTATATGGAGGATATGATGGATGGGGGCCATGAGGGGCATGAGGTGGATGAGGAAGCGCTGAACGAGGTGGATGACGCGTTTGACTTTGACGTTGCTCTGGGGGACGCCACCCCCCGCGTGGATCACATACCCCGTCCTGCCGCCTTGCCTGGCGGTGACGGCGCTCTGCCTGTGGGGGTGCATGGGGGGCAAAGGGGGCACGGAGGGCATGGAGGGCATGGAGGGCGCGAGTGGGGGCAGGCCAGGAGAGGGGTGCCGTGGTTCCCTGGCAGGCTTGTGGAGGAGGCGGAGCAGTGGCAGGCGCGCGTGGCACGGCGGTGGGGGCAGGCAGGGGGACCGGCTGGGGCTGGCGAGCAGTCAATGGGGGTTGCTGCTGGCAGAGGGGGAGGAGAGGGTGCTGGGATGCCGGGCATGGGTGCTGTGAGTCTAGGGGCGTGGCACGAGACAGCAGAGGCAGAGGCAGAGGCAGAGGCAGGCACTGGTGTGATGCCCACAGCCTCTGAGCTGCCCTCTCCATCGGCTGATCACGCTGCTGCCCCTTCCTCACCCTCTTTCCGCAATCTCCCCTCCTCCCCTGCCTCACCTTCCCTCCGCAACCTCCCCTCCTCGCCCGCCTCTCCCTCTTTCCGCAACTTCCCCTCCCCTCCGCACTCGCCCCCCACGCACGGCCCGCTGCAGCGTGGGAGAGCCGGGCTGCATGCGGCGCCCCACGCTCATGCCATGGGCGCCGGCGGGCGCGATAGGAGGCAGGGCGAGGGGGGTGCCATGGATGCTGCTGCTGGTGGTGGAGGGGGCGCAGGGGCCAGCAGTGCATTCTCCTTCGGCACACCGGCTGAGTCCACCGCCTCTGTGGGCATGCGCATGCGCAGGAGGGGGTTTGTGCGCGCATCGCTACTGCACGCCACCCCGGCCCTCACCACACGCCCCTCCTCTCCACCTCCTCCCGCTGCTGCTCCTCCTGCTCCTCCCCCTGCTGACCCGCCTTCGACTGCTCGAGCTCAGCCTCACCCCGCTGGTCGGCCTGCCACCACCTCGGCCTCGCCCCACGCGCCGCTGCCTCTGCCGGCGGACTCCCCCTGGGCGCTGGGCATGCGCGCCCGCGTGGGCGAGGGGCGCCTGCCCGCCCGCACACGCGCCAGGTATGCAGCAGGACCGGGATGACACGGGGGTGCAAGGCTGGCTGGCTGGCTGTGCCCAACGATGGCCAAGAATTCTCCCTCTTTCCTCGCTCTTTCCTCTTTCTCCTCTCGTTCTTGTCGATCTCTCCTCCTCACTCCTCTGCCATCATCCGCATCTCTCTCTCCTGTTTCCCCCCCCATGTCCGCCACATCACATCACATCACATCACATCACATCACATCACATCACATCACATCACATCACATCACATCACGCACCGGTCTCCTCCCTCCCCCAGAGTGCCACTGCGCCCCTCATCGCGCTCCGCTGCCATGGGAGCGGGCGGCGATTCGGGCGGCAACTCGGGCAGTGTGGGCAGCACCAGACCCGCCGCCCTTGGCGCCCCCGCCATCCTGCCTGCCTTTACACCCCATGGTATCTCACCGCATACCATCACACTGCCCGTGGGTCCTGGCGAGGCGGAAGCAGCAGGGCAGTTGTTGTCGGGGCAGCGGTGGGAGCAGGCAGTGCGTGTGGGCGCCCTCCACACGGGCGCGCTGCAACACGGTGGGGGGGGTGGAGCACCTTCAGCAGCAGCAGCAGCAGGCGAGTCGCCAGTGTTGGATGCAGCAGCAGTTACTGGCAGTGCGGTGGAAGGGGTGTTGAGAGGCGAAGGGGCAGTGGAGCAGGATGTGTTTGGAGGGGATGAGAGGACCACACACAGGAGGGAGGTTAGGGAGGGGAGGGTGGGGGGCGGGGCGGAGGAGAGGGGCAATGGTACTGGTGATGAGGCTGGGAGGGGTGAGGGCCATGAGGATGCGGAGGGCAGGGTGGGTGGCAGGGGGGAGGGCAACGGGGGGGGCAACGAGGGGGGCAGTGCGGAGATGGCTGAATCAGATGGTAGCAGCACTCCCCCGCGCGCACCCCATGGCAGGTCAGCTCATGGCAGGTCCCGGCACGGGCGGCCGTGGCGGGGTGAGGCAAGGCAGTTGCGGGGCAGGGAGGAGGATGGCCGTGACAGGGCTGCTGCACGCATGCGGGCGAGGGTGGCGAGCAGGGCTGGACGGACGAGCAGGGGCAGGGGGGAGTGGGAGGCAGCGGTTGGCAGGAGTGATGGGGTGAGGGACGGCGGGCATCTGATGGGTGTGGGTGGTGGGGGTGAGCGTGGCAGGGGAGTGGGTGGGGAGGGCCGTGGGCATGGCATGGATGAGCAGAGCTGGTTGGAGGGTGTGGGGATGGGTGTAGGCAGGCAGGGGAGTGACCGCACTGCTGCACTGCCTTCGCACCCCACACCTCCTGTGCCGGCCCGCCCACTGCCGTCTGATGCCCTGCCCCCCGTGGGTGCTCAGCCCTTGCTGCTGCCGTCCTTTGCCGCCCAGCACAGAGTGCCGCGTGCCTGGCGCCCTGCTGGCCCTGGCAGGAGTGGTGGCGGCGAGGGTGGCCGGGGGAATGGCGAGGAGGCAGGGGAGAGCGGAGAGGGTGGAGAGACTGGGTTCTTGTTTCAAAGGGGGCGTGGGTTTGAAAGGGATGGTGCCGCAGTAGATGTGGCTGCTGGAGTTGCTGATGGTGCTGGGATGAGTGGGGAGGCCGGTGAGGGAATGAACAGAAGCGAGGGAATGAGCAATGCCAATGCTGTAGCCCATGGTGCAGCCCATGCTGTGAGTCGACCTCCTCACTATGCTGTCCCAGCCACCGTGACCCATGCCGCAGCCACAGACGCCCATGCCATGCCACCACATGACGGCCTTGCCACAGCACCCCCGCATGCCCGCCCTGCCGCAGCAGCACCACATGACCCCTCGCCCTCAGCCCCGCCTGCCACGGCCGACCTGCCTCTCGCCCCGCACTGGAGCCCCCTCCTCCTGCCCTCCGCGCTCTCCCCCCCCGCACCTCCTCAGGCAGGCTGGCAGGTGCCGCGCAGCAGGGCGGTGGGGGGTAGACAGGGGGGGGAGGCAGGGGGGCTGGACGCGTGGAGGGAGCGGAGGAGGGGCATGGGCGCAGGCGACGGGGGCGAGCGGAGGAGGTGGCGCGAGTGGGCGAGTGTGCGGGGGATGGGTGGAGCAGGCACGGCAGGGGCTGCAGACGAGTCCAGTGGGGAGGTGGCAGGAGGGGCGGAGGAGATGGGGGCTGCATGGGTGGGGGCTGGGAGGCCAATGGGAGGGCAGGGGCCAGTGGGAGGGGAGGGTGAGGGGAGACAAGGCGAGTCAGGTGAGCAAGCGGTTGAGTGGGAAGGGGTGCGAGTGCTGGGTTCCTTGGATGAGCCGATGAGTGAGGCAGCACGAGCAGCAGCTGAAGGACACACAGCAAACGCAGCAGATGCAGCAGATGCAGCAGGCGAGGATACAGAAGCAGCAGATGTCCACCCTGACCTGGCCTCTGCTGCGCTCTCTGCCGCTCACCGCTCCGCAGCAGCAGCAGCAGCAGCATCAGCAGCAGCAGTGGCAGCAGCAGCAGCAGCAGCCACCGATACAACAGTAGGTATAGCCATCACGGAAGGAGCAGCAGCAGCAGCAGCAGCAGCAGCAGCAGCAGCAGCAGGAGGCAGCACAGCAGCAGCACGAGGAGCGGCACAGGAGGAGGCGAGGGAGAGGCGGCGGCGGCTGCAGCGGCTGGTGGAGGAGCGCGTTCGGGTGGCCCGCCACGTTGTGGAGGCTCGGGCACACGCCGCCCAGCAGCTCGTGGAGGCTCGGGCGCAGCAGGAACGGGAAGCGGTGGATCGGCGGGCACGGGAGGCTCGGGAAGCTCTGGAGCGGCGGCTGAGGGAGGCTCGGGAGGCAGTGGAGCGGCGAGCGAGGCAGGCGGTGGAGAGGGTGGTTGGGGAAACAGGGCTGGAGCCTGGAGCTCCTGAAGGCGGTCGTGGGGCTGCTAATAACGAGGACGGGGATGAGGATGGTGGCTCTGCGCTGGCAAGTGTTGTGGCGGCTGTGGGGGATGCTGTGAGGGAGGCGGCAGCTGCTGAAGGTGCAGGCAGGGCGCGGAGAGGGGCGTGGGTGGAGGCGGGGAGAGGGGAGACGGTGGAGGAGAGGCGCGCGCGGCTGCAGCAGCGGTTCTCAGCGCTCACCCGCCTCATGCTGCGCGACCACGCTGCCACCCGCCCCGTGCTCCGTGCCCCTGCTGGGGGGAACGCGCCTGCTGCTGCGGATGATGCCGGGGATGATGTGCGAGCAGCGGGGGCAGCTGCTGCTGCTGATGGCCATGCTGATGCCGCTGCCGCTGCTGCTGCTGCTGCTCGTGCGGAGGTTGGAGTGGGAGGGGAGGGTGCGGCCAGCAGGAGGGGAGGGGAGGCGGAGAGGAGGCGGCAAGTGATGGGGGCGTGGAGGCGGGACAGGGCGGGAAGGTCCTTCCGGTCCGCCGCTGAAATCATCTCCGACGTGCGCCCCTTGCCCTCGCCCTCTCCCTCGCCCTCTCCCTCACCCTCTCCCTCACCCTCTCCCTCTCCCTCGCCCTCGCCCTCGCTCTGTCCTTTTCCTTGCCCTCGCCCCCCTTCAGTTCTCGCCCTCTCCTCCTTTCACCTCTCAACTCCAACCGTCCCCTGTCACGAAATCCCCCCTTATAACGCTGTTCACTACCCCACGCCCTTCCTTCTTCTCCCAACACCATACTTCGTTCCTTGGCATGTTCCTTTGTCCCACTCACTTCCTTGGCCGTTTTGTCTTCTGCCCGCCCGCTCACTCATCAGTCCGCCCTTCTCTGTGCACACATCCCTCCCTCCCCCCCCATCAGCGGCTGGCGGTGTGGCAGGCGTTGGAGGCGGGCATGGGGGGGGTGGACGCCGCCTTCCACCGCATCGCCCCCTTCCCCCGCCCCCCCCCCTCGCGCGCAACTTCCCTCTCGCCTTCCGCCTCGCCGCCATCGACCGCGACTTCAATGAGTGTGTCCCGCCCCGCCCCCCCTCCCCTTCAATGAGTGTGTCCCCGCCCCCTCCCCTTCAATGAGTGTGTCCCCGCCCCGCCCCGCCCCCCCTGCCCTTCAATGAGTGTGTCCCCGCCCCACCCCGCCCCCCCTGCCTTCAATGAGTGTGTCCCCGCCCCGCCCCCCCTCCCCTTCAATGAGTGTGTCCCCGCCCCGCCCCCCCCTCCCCTTCAATGAGTGTGTCCCCGCCCCATCCCCCTTCCCTTCTCCCTGCGCTGCTCTGCTGTGCTTTGCTCTGGCTGAGCGCCTAGTTTTGCAGTTCCTAAGTAGCCATGAATTTGCGCCTTCAACCACGCTGTGTGGTCAAACCACTCATTGCAATCCAACCACTCATTGCAATCCAACCACTCATTGCAATCCAACCACTCATTGCAATCCAACCACTCATTGCAATCCAACCACTCATTGCAATCCAACCACTCTGCCAATCATTGTGCGGTTACAGCTCCCTCTCTCTCCTTCCTGCCTTCTCCGCATTCCGTTCCCCCACCTAACCCCACACATTCCCTGCCCGTGGTTCTCGTACCTGCTCGTCTCCCCACGCCACACGAGGTGCAGGTCGGACTACGAGATGCTGCTGGCGCTGGACGACATCTCAGCGCCCGTCGTGCGCCCCGGCGCCACGCCCGATGAGATCAACAGCCTGCCCACCGCCCTCGTCACGGTCCGTACCCTCTCTGCTCTCCTGCACCTGTTGCTCCGCATTGCAACAGCCTGTTCGCCCTGCTCTTAAGCACAGAAATGCCCACGCTTGCTGCACGCACTGCTCACTGCTCTGAGTGCATCGGCAAGGAAGTGACTGTCCCCTCTCCGCCTGGTGCAGCCTGGTCTGGGGTCTGGGGTGTGGGGTGTGGGGTGTGGGGTCGGGGGATGCATGTCCCATCAGCAGTGCACACTGCCCTTGCCATGCATGTGGTCGTTTTCCCCATTCCAGCCATACCATAGCGACCTGGGTAGCAGCATTGTCAAAGACAACTCCGTCTCTTCCCCCCTGCCATACCTCCATCGCCCATCTCCCCCCTGCCATACCTCCATCACCCATCTCCCCCCTGCCATACCTCCATCGCCCATCTCCCCCCTGCCATACCTCCATCGCCCATCTCCCCCCTGCCATACCTCCATCGCCCATCTCCCCCCTGCCATACCTCCATCGCCCATCTCCCCCCTGCCATACCTCCATCGCCCATCTCCCCCCTGCCATACCTCCATCGCCCATCTCCCCCCTGCCAGGCACATGACAGCGATCTGGGCCCGTGTGCCATCTGCATTGAGGTGCCCTCCCCGCCTGAAGTCATCCGCCGCCTACCCTGCTCCCATGCCTTCCATCGCGATGTGAGTCAACCAAAGTCATTTTTTGTAACAAGAAGCGTGAGTCAAAAGCGTGAGCCAAAAGCGTGAGTCAAAAGCATGAGTCAAAAGGGTGAGTAAAAAGCATGAGTCAAAAGCGCGAGTCAAAAGGGTGAGTCAAAAGGGTGAGTCGACCAACCCTTCCACCGAAATGTGAATTGCACTTGGCTTGAAACAAGTGAACTTGGATAAACAAGTGAACTTGGATTGACTGGCTTCCACGATTTGTGCATGTCATAGTCAAATGTTAGTAATTCCATGAGATGGAAGCACACGGGTCATTGAAATGCTTATCACCACATTCATAATCACAGCATGAGCGCTGAACCTCTGTTTTTTTTGTTTTTTTTGTTTTTTTGTTTTTTTTGTTCCATTTCTTCTTGTGGGATGAGCTCCGCGAGTTAGCATATAGATTTTCTCGGTTCTCTCAGTGTCATCGCTGTTCTTTCCTCCGCCACCCTTTCTGCCTACATTGGCTGCTGCCCCTCCCTGCTCTTGGCAGTGCATTGATGAGTGGTTGAGGCGCCGAGCAGTGTGCCCCATCTGCAAGCGAGACACACGGGGCGCGGAGCAGTGAAGGTGCCGCAGTTGCACCCACGAAATGAAGCATTGCAGGCCAGAGGCGATGGTGAAGCTGCGGGACATCTACACACTTCATTCAAGATTCTTGTTGCACAACGCATGTCTGTCCATCTCACTGCTAGGTGTAGTACTACTACCGTATGTACAGGTAATTGATTTATTCCCCATGCACCAGCACTACTGCCACTGGTTGCCCCCTTACCTGCCATGTGTTGGGCTGAGTGCCCCTTAGGATCTTTGGTAGGGTTAAACTCTGGGTAGAGTGATGTAGTAGCGGAAGCGTTTAAATGAAGTCCTTGAACCACCTTGCGCTGGTATGTGAGGGCAAAGTAAGTTGATTAAAACAAGCAAGTACAAAGGTTTATATAAGAGTACAAAGAATACGAAGAGATATAATTAAACTGTTTTTACTGTTGCGGTTCGATACAGTGCGACTCGGGCAACTGCTCAATGTCGAGTCAGTTGTGTGTCCTTGCTGTCGCGCTGCATTTGTCAAGTCAAAGGTCGCTGACCTTTGACTTTCGCGTAACCTCCAGCGGTTACTTCAACCTCCGAGGGTTGACTCGCTGGTGCCTCGATATGCTCTGCTTCGCTTGTGCCTTGGTGTTTCGACACGACAGAGGCGCTTAAGATTGTTTGTTCCCAACACTCCCCTTCGCTTCTGGAGTGTCGCTGCTGGTGACGTGGCTTTGTCCAGTCAGCAGCATGCAGTACTCGAACTTCTGTTTTCCGAGCTTCTTGGTCAAGTAGTCAGCTGCCATCTCGGACGTGGGACAGAAGGATAGTTCAAGTCTCCCCTTCTCAATCTCGTCTTTCACGAAGAAATATTGCAGAGCGATATGCTTCGTTCTGTTCGCGAATCCATTTTTGTTGGCGATGCGAATTGCAGATTGGTTGTCGCAGAACAGAGTGAAGTTGGGTAACTCGGCTAACTTCGCTTCTTCCAGCAGCTCGCGAAGATAGAGTCCTTCCTTGGTGGCTGAGCAGAGTGCAATATATTCTGCTTCAGCTGACGAGAGAGCAATTAATTCCTGCTTGCTCGATTGCCAGGAGATCGGTCCGATAGGTTCGAGGCGGTAGATGTAGCCGGTGCGGGAGCGCTTGTTGTCGGAGTCGCCAGCGTGATCAGCGTCGACGTAGCCGATTAATTTAGTCGGTGTAGTTGTGTTCTTGTAGTAAGTTAGGCCGATCGTTGAGGTACTGACGAAGTAGTGGAGAGCGTGGTCGAGCTCCGCCAGGTGTTCTGCTTCAGGCTTCTTGAGGTAGGTGGCGAGCTGGCTTGCGGAGTATGAGAGGTCGGGGCGGCAGGTGACAGCTGCGAAGAGAAGGCATCCTAGCTTTCTCTGGTAGTCGCGTATCCCGGCGGATTTGAGTAGAGAGGATCCTTCCTTGTGGTTTCCTGTCGCGTAGCGGTAGGGCGTAGAGATGGTGGTAGCTGTGAGCGCGAAGCGTTTGGCGATGGTGTCGGCGTACTTAGCGGCGTTGAGGTAGATCGCGCCTTCTTCTTCCCGAATGTTCAAGCCGAGGTACTGTGTGACGGTAGAGGAGACCGTGAGTGTGAGGTCCCTCTGTAGCTCCCCTTCGAACCAGGTGGTGATGTCGTCAGTGGAGCCGATGTAGAGTAGGTCGTCTACGTAGACGATCAACAGAATGTAGTCGGTGTCTTTAGTGAGTCGGTACATTCCTTGGTCGTGAGGTAGTTGGCGGAATCCGATGCGAATGAGGCGAGCGTGTAGGTACTGTTGCCATAGCCGCGGAGCTTGCTTGATCCCGTAAAGTGATTTCAGCAGTTGACAGACTTGGTTAGGTTCCCCGTTGGTACCGTGTGGGAGCTCGACGAAGATTTCCACGTCGACAGGTGCGTAGAGGAACGCGTTGGCGACATCGATTTGCCGTAGCTTCCTTTTCTTCATGGCGGCGATCGCGAGGAGGATTCGAAGTGAGGTATGTCGGCTAACCGGGGCGAATGTCTCGGTGAAGTCCCGTCCGTGCTCCTGATCGAATCCACGCACAACCCAGCGTGCTTTGAACTTCTCAATTGTGCCGTCTGCTTTTGTTTTAACGCGGAAGACCCATTTCCCGGTGAGAATGGTCTTGTTCCTTGCCACGCTGATGGGGACAACTTTCCAGGTGTTCCGTTCCTCCAGCGCCTTTAACTCTCTGTCCATGGCTTCACGCCATTTTTCCCTGTGTTCCCCCCCCAGAGCCTGCTGAACCGTCGCAGACTCCTTAGGAAGAGTGTTGCCGTGGACTGCGGTGACGAGTCCGAGAATCTGCAGTCCAGTCTGTGAGTAGCGGGGAAGAGTTGCATCCTCGGGATAAGCTGCTTCATCTCCCGCTTCTGGATCAGGTATGAAATTCGGTCCTACTCGTTCTGCTTCGTTGGTGTTGACTGTCGCAGGTGTTACGTAACCGTTGTCGGCGAAGTAGTAGAAGGTTTCGGCGTTGACACTTTCGCGAGGGTTATCTTCGTCCATGGGGACGTCGACGGAGCAGAACGGAAGGGGTCCAGCTTCTTCTGATGCGTTGGCCACATTCTGCTCGTCCCAGTCAGCTTCGTCTGCTGCCGAGGCGAAGGCTCGGTCACCACGAAAACCACCTGTGGGATCTTGGTCCTCTTGCAGGTTGGCAAGGTATGTCTGGAGCGTGAGTCGTTCGTAGAAAATGACGTCGCGTGCTGCTACTGTTTCCTTGGAGTGGACGTCAAAGATTTTCCACGCGTTGTAGTTCTTTTTGATGCCGAGGTGTAGTCCCCACTGTGCGCGTTGTGAAAATCGGCCCGCTCGTGCTGCTGGGGGTCGGTACTGTACCATGCATCCGAACACTCGTAACATTTTTGTGCTGCCCTGTTTTCCTGTCCACAGCAGATGCGGTGATGCGTTGTTCGGTAGTGATGAAGATGAGAGCAAGTTGTGCAGCATGACAGCGTGGTCCATCGCGTCAGGCCACTGGTGGTTGGGTAGCCGCAAGCCACGCAACAGTTTGCGCATGCTGTTCTGCAGAGTCCTGTTCTTTCTTTCTGCTACACCTTGCTGCTGATGGGCGTAGGGAAGAGAGAGGAGCTGCTTGATTCCCCTTTCCGCCAGGTACTGCTTGAATCGCTGAGAGGTGTATTCTCCTCCTCCGTCAGACTGGAAGCTTTTCAGCTTTACGCCCGACTCTCTTTCTGCTACTGGTAGCCAAGCAGCGAATGCTTCGAGGACCATGTCGCGGCTGGGTAGGTTTAGATGCCAGACGTAACGGGTGGCGGCGTCGATGAAGGTGATTGTGTAGTTGTATATTACTTGTCCTGGTTCCCGATTGTACAGGATGTCGCTATACACCTTTTCGAGTGGTGCGTACGCGGGTGTGCTCGGGTTGTGATGAGGAGTGAACGGCCGATGTGGTAAGTCGGCTTCGGGGCAGGTAAGACATGTTCCTCGTGCCCGTTGAAGTTCTCTGCCGTCGAGTAGTAGTAACGAGTCCTTGTCAAGGACTCCTGCTCTTATTGTGTTGTTTAACACAGTGTTGCTTGGGTGTCCCATGCGTGCGTGCCAGATGTCTTCGGAGGCGCGGTGTCCGGGTGAGCGTCGATACGCGTCGGAGTTGGAGTAGAAGCTGGCGGTGAAGTTTGCGCTTCTATGGACTTCCCGTTGAGCCGGATTCAGCTGCTGTGCGGGTGTTGGTGGTGCTTCGTCAACGAGGAGTGGTGTCGTTGTTGCTGCTACTGTTGTTGTTCCTGCTACTGCCGATGATGTCTCTGCTGCTGCCGATGATGTCTCTGCTGCTGCCGATGTTGTCTCTGCTGCTGCCGATGTTGTCTCTGCTGCTGCCGATGTTGTCTCTGCTGCTGCCGATGTTGTCTCTGCTGCTGCGGATGTTGTCTCTGTTGCTGCCGATGTTGTCTCTGCTGCTGCCGAATGTTGTATTGTTACTAACGCACGTGTTCGTTCTGCTTCAGGAATGGTATGTGAATACCAAAAGCCTTCCGGACTGAATTCGGGGTCGAGATCCGGCGGGTGCGTCCAAGATGTGAAGGTGACGATCCCGTCACTGTCTGCGGTGCCCAGGTCTGGGACGAAATCGAGAACGAAGACATTGTTCTTCAAGACCGCCTTTCCGATGTAGAGGCCGCCCTTCCCGTGGTACAGCTTGAACTCCTGGGTGGTACTGTCGGCTTCCAGATGTATGCCTTTCGCCATCAACTGACTGACGCTCAGTAAGTTGTAGCCAAGTCCTTCTGCTATTAGGACTTTGGACATTTGCAGTATGACATTCGTCTCTCGTGACTGAAGTTGCACTACTCCTTGTCGTCGTGTGCGCAGGTTCTGATTATTGGCGACAGTGATGACGACTTCTCGTTGAAGTTGGTGCTCGCGTTGAACGAAACGTCCTGAAGAGCACATATGTTGTCCGCAGCAACTGTCC